ATGGAGGGAAACACAGGGAGAGGGCAGAGAGAAGACAGACAAGGAGACAGAGGGCAGGAGGGGGAGGGGGGAGGGGCAGGCACAAAGCAGACAGGTAGAAAGGGAGACAGAGAGGATGGCCAGAGTCAGAGGTGGGGGGAGAGACAGGGAGAGACAGAGGCAGGAGAGACAGAGCCACGGAGGGAAGTGGGTGAGGGACTAGCGGGGACGGAGTCCAAGGAAGCAGCAGAGAGCCGGAGGGGACTGGGAGGACCTGACACACCACCTGCCCCCCAGGGTGGAGATGACCTGGACCCCAACTACGTGCTCAGCAGCCGCGTCCGCACCGGCCGCAGCATCAAGGGCTACACGCTGCCCCCCCACTGCTCCCGTGGCGAGCGCCGAGCCGTGGAGAAGCTCTCCGTGGAAGGTGAGAGCCCCCACAGCACCAGCTCTGCCTCTGCTCCTCCGTGGGCGGATCTCTGGGCCCCCTCGGGCCCCCATTTTCTAAAATGTGGCAGTGGAAGTTGCTTGATAAGTCATGGGTTCCTGGTGAGTGCCAGCTGGCAGCGTTCCTCCTGGTGGGAGTCTGGGGGTGGCTGTCGTCTTGAGGCACCCTGAGCAGATCCATGCAGACCCTTAATTGTACCAGGGTCCTGACAGCCATCCATCCATCCATCCATCCACCCATCCATCCATCCATCCATCCATCCATCCATCCATCCATCCATCCATGCGGCAAATATTTATGGTCAATCTGGTCCTGTGTGGGGAGCTGGGGCTCCCAAGATGAATAAGACGGACAGTGTCGCTGCTGTCACAGAGTTGTCAGCCTGGTGGGGAGATGAGAAGAAACACAGAAAGCAAGAAAAGAGCAAGGCGGTTCCAAAATGCCATGAAGCCAAGAAACAAGAGGTGTGGCAGAGAATGGCTGGGCATATGGGAGAGCTACCTTGTGAGGGAGCTGAGACCTGATAAAGAAGGAGCCAACCTTAGGAAGAATTCTAGCAGATAGAAGAGCAAGAGCAAAGGCCCTGAGGTGGGGAGGAGTAGCAAGGAAACCACTGTGGCTGGGGCTGAGCAGGCGAGGAGGTGGGGTCAGAGGGGTATGGGTGAGCGGGGTGCACAGAGCCTTGTGGGCTGTCAAGAGGGCTTTGGCTTCGACTCTGAGGGAGGTGGAAGCCATGGGAGGGTGGTGAGCAGAGGAAGGACAGGTTCAGACTTACGTGGAGCCCTCTGGCTGCTGAGTGGGGGACAGACGGTGGACAAAAAAGGAGCACAGAGACAGTGAGGGGGCAACCACAGTGGTCCAGGTGGAGGGTGAGGGATAGCAATGGAATGGGGAAAAAGAGAAGTTTTGGAGGTAGGACCATCAGAACTCATGTTGTTCTGATAAATGTTTAACAACTGGCTCTTAAAAAAAACAAAAAAGCCCTGATTTGCAGCAACTGCCAATTTCTGTGGTATAAATTCCCTCACCCTGGCTAATTTTAAGCTGTGACATGACATCATACAGAGATGGGAAGAGATGCCCAGTAGCATATCATCCATCGTATTTCCACCACACAGCTACGATAGATGAAGATAACTTCAAGAACATAGATAATAGTAAATATAGCAAAATAATTAGAAAGTGACAGTTCTGAGTACTAATTACCTTTGTTTTAAATATAATTAACTTAATTTGTAATATTACATAATTTATTTTTAATATAGTATATGGTATATGATATATAACACATAGTATATGATACAAATAATGTATAAAATGTATATAAATAAGTAATTATACTATATTATAAAAATTTTTAGTAATGACTCCCCAAATTCCTGAGACTGTCTGTTCTGCCAGCTAGTGGAAGCAGGCCCCAGAACGCTAATGTTTGCAGGTGGACTGGATGTGAGGGTCCAGGGAAGGGGAGAATTGTATTTTCTGGCCTGGGCAGACAGGGGAGGAGCGCGCTTGGGGGTCACGAATTTGAGTTTAGACCCAGTATCCAGGCGCCTTTAGGACACATGGGGGCAAAGGCCCAAGCCAGCTAGGGGAGGCAGTGGTGGGTCTCTGGGGCCTCACACCCTGCTTCAGGAGGGACAGGCTGCTGACCACTCCTTCATGTGGCCTCTCAGCCCTCAACAGCCTGACGGGTGAGTTCAAGGGGAAATACTACCCTCTGAAGAGCATGACAGAGCAGGAGCAGCAGCAGCTCATCGACGACCACTTCCTGTTTGACAAGCCCGTGTCCCCGCTTCTACTGGCCTCAGGCATGGCCCGCGACTGGCCCGACGCCCGTGGCATCTGGTGAGACCCCCCTGTCCCAAGGCCTCCCCTCCCTCCAGCCTCCTCCAGTCCCCCCAAGATCCTCCTCATTCCTCCACCAAAGTCAAGACCATAAGTAATTATGTTTTCAAGAACCAGAAAGTGATCTCACTCCCCACCCCTGCCAACCCTGTGGTCTGTGTCACATTTTGGGAAACTTGGACCAGAGAAGTGGCAGTTAGGAAGTTAGACTTGAACGAGACTCTGGGTTCAAATCCCAAGGCTGCCACTGACTAGCTGTGTGACCTTGGGCACATTATTTAATGTGTCTCTGCCCCAGTTTCCCCATCTATAAAATAGAGACCACAATAATTCATAGCTATTGGAGTTCTCATGAGGGTTAATGAGTTCATATAAGTATTGAAAACAGTGCCTGCTACATAGTAAGTACCCGGTACATCTTGGCTAGTATGATTTTATTGCTAGTATGATTTTATTACTAACTTCTGTTGCGAGTTAGGCTTTCTATAAATCTTCGAATCCCTGATTCTGACAAAGATTTAAAAAGGTTTCTAGAACCTAGGTTTCAAATGACTTGGAGAGCATAGGTTCCAAGATTTACAGATAGGATGATTCTAAGATTTCAAGTTTTTAAAGATTTTTAGGTTCTGAGATTCCACTAATTTCAGAGTCTGCGCTTCCACGGTTTCAAACATTCCCAGATCCCGAAATGCTACGGTTCTAACCAAGACTGTGTCTGAGATGTCACGATGTGATAGGAAGATCCTTTGGTCCGGAGACCAGATGTAGAATTTCCAAGATTTATCCATCTTGACTCTAAGCTTCTGATTCTGAGATTCTAAGCGTCTGTCATTTAATGCTGTTCAGAGACTTAAGACCCTAAAAGTCCTTGTTCCCAGGATCGAGATGTCACAGATCCTGTGACGTTAGTCCGCAGGCGTCAGTTTCGGCGATTCTGCCCTAGCAGATGCCACCACCTCCTGCCCCTCAGCCGGCTGCCCTCTGGCGGTGGGCAGGTGTTTGGGACAGGAGCTGACCCTGGCCTCTGCTGCACCCCCCCAGGCACAACGACAACAAGAGCTTCCTGGTGTGGGTGAACGAGGAGGACCACCTCCGAGTCATCTCCATGGAGAAGGGGGGCAACATGAAGGAGGTTTTCCGCCGCTTCTGCGTGGGGCTGCAGAAGGTAGGTGCCTGTCCCTGGCCGCCGACCTCGGGCTCCGCCCCCAAGGC